TGGACGTGGTGGGGGAAGATAAATATCAGCCAATACATAACAAGGCTACCTCTTTATCTATTGGCTGTTAGGTTATCAATGAAACTCTCTATGTTTCTACGTTTCTGACTTGCCGACTTGCTGGGTTGGCGTGGTTTATGTTCGGCCTCTCATGCACTGATGCCATTTACTCAACCAGCACAGCGGTTCTTGGAGTCTTTTTCGAACTGTAGCTTCCTCTCAGTTTGCACAAATTTTGTTTTAATGGCAGACAAGAATTTATGATCAGTTCACCGCAAAAGAAAGTCTGTTTTAGATGTCACTGAAAGAAGAAGAGAAGGGGAAACGGAGCGAAGCGCAACATTTAAAAACGGACAAACAATCGCTGCATTTCTCTTTCCTTGGAAAATCTTCTATACAACCTTTAAGTGTACATTTTCAGTGGATAAAATTCAATATAAAAAAATAAATAAAAAATCACCTTTTAAATATTCAGCACAAATATTTTCAGGCCTTCAAATTCAACAGTCGAAATTCAGAATGTAAAATTCGCAGTGAAGAAAATTCACAGTGACGATCCGAGATGCCAAGGCAGAAGCAATCGATCCAAAGTGATCCGATCTAACTTCGTAAGAAACAGGAAATGTTGCAGTGAAGCGATCTGATTGGTCAGAATTAGCCTCACTGAAACTTCATCTCTTTGATTTGTTAAGTGTAAACCCCGCCCACAGATGAGAACAGCCAATAGGAAACAGCCTCTCTCCTCCTCGCTCACATAATCGATTGCTTCTGCTTTGGAATCTTGGATTTTTGCTGTGAAATTTTTCACTGCGAATTTTACCTTCTGAATTTCGACTGGTGAATTGGAGGGCCTGAAAATATCTGTGGTGATTTTTTGGTTTAGTTTGAATTGAAAGTAAACTTCAAATTTCAGCCACTAAAATTCAGAATAAAAATAATTCAAACATCTTTATTCAGAGTTTAAAAAAATTCAAAGTGAGAAATTCAGTCGTATTTAAAATTCAAAATCTGATGGAACAAATTATCTTCCATACAATGGGCCGAGCTCAATGGCGCATGACTCCAGATTTTCCTTTAACCTGGCGAGGTACTTCCGGTGGCTCTGGGCAGATCTGACCAATCAGAGAGAGAGAGAGAGAGAGGAGCTAAAGCAGAGCCGGAGCGAACGATTAGAAACCGTTTTTTAAGACAACTAAAGGATTTTGAGCTGAGAAAAAGTGATTATGATTTAAAAGTAGGTCAAAATCGCCACAAAATCCGATATTTTTGAAAGTGGTCGGTGCCCTGTCAGCTGAACATGAGCAGTTTGTGATTACATTGCACTCTATGAGAAAAATCCTCTCTGGGCCCAGGGGATTTTTCCGCTGTAGTACCAGTGAGCGTCACTACGTCAACTGGAGGCAGCTACAAACAGCAACACCCCATCCAGTTATTTTAATAGATCCATGGTAAAACACTAAAATACACTAGACGGTTCGCAAAAACCCCAGAAGTGCGAGCAAAAAGAGGCATAAACTGTCATTTGTTTCAGTAAAATACAGAAAAGCTGCTTAAAAATTACCAAAATCCAAAGAAAATGTGACAGTACTGACTCATGTTCGTCATGAATGGGCCGAGTGCAGAACAGTTTACCTTAATTACATGCTCGTTTCACAATTTTATGATTACCAACCGCCACAAACTGGGGGCGTCCCAGTTTTTGATTTTGAAAATCTGGTCGCCCCACCTGAGATGGGAATCAGTAATGAATGCTGCAAAGAAAATATCATGTATAGCTGAAAATGACTTATTTACCTACTACGAAAAAGCCATCACTGGAGGACGAGTAGCCCGATGTCTGGTTTGATTTCATAACTGATGACACCTGGAGAAAAACACACAAAACAAACAGACAAATAATTAAAGGGGTTATGTTTCCTGATCTGTTTTCTGATCTGTTACAATGTAGTTTCCTGGTCACAAACAGACCTGGAGTTGTGTTTTGTTTCATGCACACATGTTTAACACACAAACCCTGCGTATTTAGGCTGAGTTTTTCTCTCGAACGGAAAATATCCCACATCCACCACATCCACCTTGTGATTAGGGTTGGCGGTAATACGGTATTAAGGTATCCCGAGGTATCAAAAAGTAGCAACGGCATCAGTTTCTTTACCGTCATTAAAAAAATGCCCCCCTGTCTTGGAGAATGTGTCTTATGAATGCGGGTGGATCGTTTTAAGTTTGGATTTTTATTTCCTATGAGGAGGACTCAAACACACATCGAGTAATAATGTGTTTAATGCAGCTTTGAACACATTTGTTTATGTTTTACAGAAACAAAATTTTAAACCACATGGCTTATTTGCATAAACTATAAACACTGATAAAAACAGTTGGCTCCTTGTGTGCCAGAGTCCTGCACCGTACCCATGGGTCCCCGATGGGTACAGAGAAATAGCTGCTGAAACGTGCGGGTTTTAAAGTTCTGGAATTTTACCAGCGAGTATGTGAGCGGGTAGTAATTACACACAGCAGGTCAGGACTAAATCAGGACTAAACCAGGACAAATCCGGGACTTAAGAGAGAGTATCCCGAGCCCGCGGAGCAGGACGCAAAGCGCGATCGGTCCACGGCTGCGCTTACCTCTGTGCGGCGCGGAGCTCTATGCCGGTCCTTTCGCCCGCGGTCACCCAACGGTCTACGTGGGCGCACCTCTGGACCTCACCTCAACAGTGAGTTCTGGTTTAGATCTGGTTCAGTTTTGGTGTAGTCCTGGTGATCAGCTTGGCGGTTTGTGGTTATATATTTATAAACCGCTAATAAAGCAGCCTAGGTTCAGTCCTGGTTCAGTCCTGGTTCAGTCCTGGTTCAGAGTCCTGGTTCAGTCTTGGACTATTAAGCTGTTGGACTAATGGGCTGACCCCGATTTATCACGGGCACGGGCAGGTAACGGGTGGGATGTTAACAGGTCAAGGTGGGTGCGGATTTTTACTTTGATATAGTCACGGGTTAACGGGCAGGTGTAGTGCTGTACTGCGTGGGTGTGGGCGGGTGCGGGCGGGTGCAAGTCTCCAGAAATGGACTCTGCAGGACTCTGTGCTCCGGGACTATTTACTGTTAACCACACTTTTTGCATGCACTGACATTATTACTAGTACTGTGTGCTAATATTTACATAGTGGGTGTAATGTTGACGTAGTGGGTGTTACGGGGGGGGGGGGGGGGGGTTGGTTGGGTGGGGGGTACTTGCACTTTTAATATATTATACAGTCGTGGTGATGCTCTAATGTAATTTCGTTGTGATTTTATATGACAATGACAATAAAGCAATTGAAGTGAAAAAAAAAAAAGATTGAGAAATATTTGGCATTTAGACTTTGATGTTTCCAGCCTCAGTGTTATCGGAGTTTGACTTATTGCCCTGATAATAATGGCTCAGGAGCAGCGCAAACACCGACCATCCTTTATTGTCTCTCATGGGAGAAATTTGTCTTGGGACACATGCTTTAACACAAAGACATGATAACACAGCAACAAAAGTACCATGCAAACATCCACCACAGAGCATAAACAAATAAGTCTGACCACGAGTGACGCACCAACAGGACCTTTACGTCACTCTTTACCGGCAAGCCCTTCACAATCTTGTATTCTATTAATAACTGCACACTCCCTAAGCCTTTGCGCATGTCTGGGTCCCTTTTGTGGTACAGCACAACAGTAGCAGCGATTGGTTAAATAAAATCTCGGGGTCTTGTTCACGAGTGAGGGGAGGATGGAGCGTGAGATTGACAGACCGGTCGGTGCAGCGTCGACAGTGATGCGGTCGATGTATCGGACCGTTGTGGTGAAGAGGGAGCTGAGCTGAAAGGCGAAGCTCTCGATTTACCATCAATCTACATTCCTCCCCTCACCTATGGTCATGAGCTCCGGGTAATGACTGTAAGGACGAGATCGCGGATACAAGCGGCCGAAATGGCAGGGTGGCTGGGCGCTCCCTTAGAGATCGGGCACAGGACACACTGGAGGGGACTACCTCTCTCGGCTGGCCTGGGAACACCTTGGGATCCCCCCTGGAGGAAGTGTGCATGGAAAGGGAAGTATGGGAGTCCCTGCTTAGACTGATGCCCCCGCGACCCAGCCCCAGATAAAGCGGAAGAAAATGGATGGGTTAAATAAAAAGTATCCGCCTACCGTCGAGCGAACGAATCCTAATGTTGCAAGGTCAGACAGCTTCCACAAAGTGAAACCATCTGATGAATCAGGCTAACACAGTTTTGTCCAAGTTAAGTCTAAAATGAACTAAATTTACAAAACAAGGCATCCAGCTTTTTAACAAGAATTTCACTAAAGACAAATACACTGAAAAACAAATGACGAAAAACAAAAGCTGTGTTCTGATCTGTGTTCTAATGTTGTTTCCTCATTACAAACAGACCTGGAGAATCCGTGTATCATTCATTCATTCGTTTTTCAATATAAAACCAAAGATAAGAAAACCAAAAAAACTTCATTACTTGTCTCCAAACACAAAATCGAAAAAACGGATAATGATTTGTTTTTTCAGTTTTCGATTTTGTGTTTAAATGAAAAATGGAAAAAAGGATAACGGCCGTTTCCTGTTTACGTGACTTCCGTGAGTGCGATGCTGAGCTTTTGCACCGCGTACGGACTGAACCAGGACTGATCCAGGTCCGGGACCACACCGGGACCAGACCAGGACCAGAGCGGGACCAGGGCGGACTCCGAGCTTTGACTCCAAGCATCTGCAGGGTCCGAGCCTCAGCTTCGAGTTCCGGCCCTGCCGTGGGCTCTGAGCCTCCGGTTTGGTCTCGGTCTCAGTCCCGGTCTGGTCCCAATCTGGTCCCAATCTGGTCCCGGCCTGGTCTCTGTCTCAGTCCCGGTCTGGTCTCTGTCTCAGTCCCGGTCTGGTCTCTGTCTCAGTCCCGGTCTGGTCTCTGTCTCAGTCCCGGTCTGGTCTCTGTCTCAGTCCCGGTATGGTCCCGGTGTGGTCCCGATCTGGTCTCGATCTCAGTCCCGGTCTGATCCCAGTCTGGTCTCGGTCTCAGTCCCGGTCTGATCCCAGTCTGGTCTCGGTCTCAGTCCCGCTCTGGTCTCAGTCTCGGTCTGGTCCCGGTTTCAGTTCTGATCTCAGTCTCGGTCTGGTCCCGGTTTCAGGTCTGGTCTCGGATCAGTCCTGATTCAGTCCGTATGCAGCACAAAAGTTCAGCATCGCAGTCACGGAAGTCCCGTGTACAGGAAACGGCTGTTATCCATTTTTTCCATTTTTCATTTAAACACAAAATCGAAAACTGAAAAAAACAAATCATTATCTGTTTTTTTCATTTTGGTTTTGGAGACAAATAATGAAGAAAACTGTTGTTTTTTTTTCGTTTTCTTATTTTTGGTTTTATATTGAAAAACGAATGAACGAATGATACACGGATTCTGGAGTTGTGTTTTGTTTCATTCACATGTTTAACACACAAACCCTGCACATGTAGGCTGAGTTCTTCCCTCAAACAGAAAACACTCTGTTCCACCTTGTGATGTCATGTGGTAATATCGAAAGAGAAGTGCTTCACATGTTTGACTAATCCTGGTTTATCAGTCTGCCCATCTCCAAAGCTCATAATGCTCTGTTCCACCTTGTGATGTCATGTAGTGGTATAAGAGAGAAAAAATGTGGTTCTTTTAAAAGATCTCTACTCACACTGCTGGGCTGCACCTCCACCGTGGTGTTGTAGAACTTATCAGAGCTCGTCTCGATGTTTCCACTGCGGAACAAGAACCTGCCGGAGAAGAACGCTTGTATTTAGGTGTTGAGAAAACCATCAAACCATCAAAGTAACAAACTCTCAAAGCGCAGGTCAGAAGTCTATGATCAAATCTACGCTTATATTATTATTAACACGTATTTTATAACCAAATCTGAACTCAAGAGTTGTATTTTGATAGCCAGACTGGAGCCACCTAGTGACTCCGCTCAATTTCATTTCTCTCTAGTGACTAGGTCAGGAATCAGAATACACTAGACCAGGGGTGTCAAACTCATTTTGGTCCGGGGGCCGTATCCAACCGACTTTGATCCCAAAAGGGCCGGATCAGAAAACTCATGTCATATAAACCCCAAAAATTAACAATAAGTTCAAATATTTGTGCAGAGAAACACAAATCTATTACAAAAATCTTTTTTAATTGATGAACTCTTTCTTTTACAAAATATTGTAATGTTATGAACAACCTGAAACTTTAAGAAAAATGCAATTTCAACACAATGTTTTAATATGAACTTGTTTAGCATTAACTTGTATAAATAGGAATAAGTACATTTTTCTTGGTAAATCCTGCACTCGGCTCCACTTTTCTCATGAGGGTGTCACGGTCAACAGTCAAAATGATCGTCCTATAAGAGCGTTTGGAAAGAGGCAAGACTTCATTTGTGCTGCTCTGGTGGGAGGGGCCACGTACAGAGACACTGGACGCTGCATTCCTTAGCACCGCAGAAAATTAACAATATTTTAATAAAAAATATTTTTGTAGAAAATCAGTCGAGGGCCAGATTAAAGGTCTTGGAGGGCCGGATCTGGCCCCCAGGCCGCATGTTTGACACCTGTGCACTAGACGGTTCGCAAAAAACGCCAGAAGTGCAAGTTCAGGCACCAGCCAATCAGCAAAGAGCCATATATTCATTGTTGTCAATGACTCCCGAGATCGAGGATTTAAAGCCGGAACAAAAAGAATGTTTGGTAAATTTCATCAAGGGGAAAGACGTTATTGCCCTTTTTCCTACGGGATTTGGCGCATTACATACGTCACGACCAAATAGCAGCGATTGGTTAAATAAAAAAAATACCTGCCTCCCGTCGCGCGAATGAATCCTAACGCTGCAAGGTCAGACTGTTTCCACAAAGTGAAACCGGCTGATGAATCAGGCTAGTATTTTCATTGGTTCATGTATAAATAGTAATTATATTGTTCTGCATTCAAGGCTTAAGAGGAAGAGAATCAGTTGTGCTTTTTCAAAGAAAGTCAATAGACGTCCTTTTCGTTTTAAAAAAAGAGAGAGGGGGTTTGTGGCCTAGTTTTGCTGCTTTAAAACAGGAGCACAACTGAACCTGTGTTGCCATTGGATAAACCTCCAGACAGAGACACATCCAAGTTTGTCTCATTCTCAATTTACGAACAGGCCTCGTGGGAAAACTCAGAACCTCCAGAATTCCCTCCCTGAGCTGCAGAGGCTGCACTAGCACTGACTCATGAGTGGCTGCAGGTTAAGGCTGTGCAATTAACTGAATTTTGATTGCGATTTTGATTTGTGTGTCAAACGATCTCCATACTCATATAATTGAGTTGAAACAATAAAACTTAACAAAGTTTATTTTGGGATATTTTTTATATAAAGAATTATATTCATTTTATTTTTAAATACAGATTGTAGAACAGCTGGATATATATTATTTATTTTGGATACATTTATGGTTTTCTCTGCCTTATTTCATGTTCAAAGTATATTTTATTCATTTTATGTTTTATACATCGCAGAACTACTCCACAACCCCATGGAGCCTCACGACCTCACTGACCAACACGCTCAGAGGACGGCACAAGACCAAGGACCAGACCCCCAATCCCGTCCCTGAGGGGCTGCGTGCTGCGGTGAGTGCTCCTGTGTCTTAAGTGGTGCTGCCCGAACTCAGTGCTTCTGCTCCGGGCTGATGCGGTGAGTTTGTACAAAGTTCTACATGCTGCTGTTTTATGAGTTCACGGTGATAACTTGAGATGAGGACGACCCGCGGTGTTGGAAGTACCAATGTTTACTGGGGGAACAGTGGTGCTGGGGAACGTCAGGCTGACCTGGTGTGGACCAAATAATTGAACTAGCAGTGTGAAAGTGCCCTAAACTGGGTCAAAACCAGGTCTAAACCAGGTCTAAAACCAGGCCAAAAAGAGGATTACGTTGGTCTTTGAAAATATTGTCCCTAAGAGCACCCCTAAAACCATCCATGACGCAAAAAAGGTTGGGGACAACTGCTCTGTGGTACATGGCTGTAGCCTATATTTATTTGAAAAGTTTTGTGTAAAGACAAGATTTTTTCCATAATCGAGCAGCCCTCCTGCAGGGTCTGGGGTTTAAGCAGAGACCGTTCAGTTCTGTACATGTTACGTCCTGTGAGTCTAAAATATGGAATTAAAATGCAGGTTCTACTTATTGCAGCATTTATGGCAGCATTGTTGCAAATCTTCACCCCAGAGTCCCATAACCACAATATGTTCTCACGGCTATGCACGCTGTGGAAAACGCTCAAACGGTGCTATGAAAAAGGACGAGCCAATTTATGTAACACGCCCTGCCCTGAGGACGCACCTGAAACACAGGTGGATGTACAAAGTTAGTTTGACAGTGAATACTTTTACTTACAATATTTAAGAGCAGGTAATTGCACTTTCTACTCCACTGTTTGAACTACACTGAAAAGTATCGGGCTGATGTTTCACGTGGGCATGTGATACGTCGTTATAAATCTTAGACTCTCTACATTCTGTTCATTTAATCCAATTTACAGACAGATAAATGTCCTAATATATGGCTCCACATCAGTATTTATCTGTGGAGTCATTTGTCTGTGTGTGTGTTCGTACTGTCCCTGAACACACCACAGAGTCGCGTCACTCACGTGTGTTTGTTTACACGCGCAGACACAGATCCAAACGTTTGATTATTTTTTTAAATTATTTTTTATTATGAGATTATTTTCTTTTTACGGACAATCGGTTTGAGTCTGGATTAAAAGGACATTTATTAGTGCAGACTTGTGATATGAGAGGAGCCTGTGTGAGCGGTGAGTGTTGGAAATATGTCGACTTTGAAGCTAGTTTTGGTCATTTGTTGTGGTTAAGCTGCTGATATGTAAATGAGCTGTTAATAGACGTGTGAATTATGACATTTGCGCATAGAATTAATTACCGTGGCGCGCACGTATTTACGGCTAAAGTTTTAGTCCTGCTTTAGTCCTTTTTCAGTCCTGATTCAGTCCTGCTTTAGACGTGCTTTAGTCCTGCTTGCAACAAAACAATCTGAAGAGCCACTTGGGAGCCAAAAGAACCAGCAGCTTTTAGTGAGCCAAGCCAAAAGAGCCGGTTCTCTAAAAAGAACTGGAATACCCATCACTAGTGTCTAGAATGTGATGCAAAAATGCCATTAAGCCAACCTACTGTCTGTAAATATGACATAAAGAGGCAGAATAACAATAAATGTTGCCTAAATAAACCCAATTTAAAAAACACCAGAGCCAAACCTAAGTTCTTTAAACATCACTAAATATATCGGTGATTATATCGGCTATCGGCAGCTCCAACTCCCATCATATCGGCTTCATATCGGCCACAGCAAAATCCATATCGATCGGGCTCTAGTCTGTTGTTCTCTCTTCTATTGTTTTTACTAGAACTTGACTTTCAAGATGAAATGTCGGTTCCTGGTCTCTGATTTTATAAAATTAATTTCCCCCAAAAAGTGCGAGTTAAATGTTTTTTTCTTCTTCATTACGCATTTTTTGGCTGGTGTGACTTATACCCCGGAGTGATTTATAGTCCGAAAAATACAGTAATATACGATCTTTAATGTTTTATGGGTCCTACATGGCTGTTATTTTTGTTTTATTTGTGCTTGTATTGTCTAATGCCTGGTACTCTCATTAGGCCCTCCCGGTATACTTAATGAGAAATGAAATGAAGAACTAGGATTGAGGAATGGCTACCAACCTGGCAACATGTGTGGGCTGGCTGAAGCTGAACAGGATGTAGTCTCCTTTGGTGGGGGTGAGGGCCCAGAAGAAGTCCTGTCCCTGGTAGGCTCTCTCCAGACTGTGCTGCTGGTAGTGCTTCAGACTGGAGTGAACCTGGGCCGGCGGGTTCTGGTGCGGGGAGAACAGACGCTGCTTCCCAAAGTCCTTATCCTGACAGAAGAGAGACGGAAAGAAGCGGTCAGTGGTTCTGGATGACTTCGAAATGAAAGGGCTTATATTACACAGAATTTGATCTGAATGGTCACTGCCTAATCAGCCAATCGTGAGTCAGTGCTAGTGCAACCCTTGCAGCTCAGGGAGGGATTTCTGGAGATTAAGAGCTTTCACATGAGGCCTGTCCATAAACTGTGAATAAAACAAACTTGAATGTGTCTCTATCTGCAGGTTAAGGCTCTGAGGACACAGGTTCAGTTGTGATTGTAGCACTAAAAATCCCCTGCACTTTAGAACATGTTTGTCGAGGTTTAAACTGCACGATTAGCAGCTTTTACAGAGAATATAATAGGACATTTTGTTGTTTAGTGTCTTTGAACTTGTAAGTGTGCAGAGTAATTGTGACTGAAATGAAATGCACTGATAAAATGTTTTAAAGTAACTATTAGTGTTAGTGTAATGTCTGTTAAAGGTTGTATGGAGGATTTTTTTTGTTTCAGATTGTCAGTGATAGATTATAGAGGTGCAGTAGCCTTGTAATTATGATGACCAAAAAAAAGAGAATAAAAATTCATCAACTCTGGACGTGGTGGGGCTAAACATTTGCCAATAGATAACGACACTGCCTCGTTATCTGTGAGCTGACAGGCTGTCAATCAAACTCCCTAAGTTTCTAGCGTAACTCACTTGCCTGCGCTGCCGTTACATGGTTTACGTACGACTGTCACGCAGTCCACAGACGCTGTTTACTCCACCAACGCAACAGTTCTTAGCGGCTTTTTTGACCTATATCTTCCTCGCAGTTCGCACAAAGTTTGTTGCAATGGTGACAAGAATCCAGGAGCAGTTCGCCGCAAAAGAAAGTCCGTTTTTGAGGTTGCTGAAAGAAGAAGACAAGAGGAAAAGCAGCGAAGCCAAACTAAGGTGATTCTTGTAGATTCATTCCAGCGATGGTGCGACTGAAGCAGACGAAGGGTCTAAAGACTGACGCACTGGTCCACAAATTACTCCTGGACAGGAAACTTCTGCTTATTATGAAAACGTACTTTATTTCCAAGAGCTAGACAAACGTTTTTCAGGACACGACTGTGATATCCTATGTCTGAAAACGTAATTTTCAATGCAAAGAAAGAGTCTGCTTGCTGCTGCGTGTTGTAGTAGTAGCTTCATTCGCACTGAATCTCCATGCACCCTTCTCTGCACCCCTTACTGCTCCTCTCCCCGCTCCCCGTTTTGCTCTTTTCCCTGCTGCTCCTCACTTCCTCACTTCTCGTCCGCGCACGAAATGTCCGCGCACCCCCTCCCCCCGCTCCTCACTTCTCCACCTTGCCTAACCGACACTGTAGTTAATTGTTTACAAGTCATGTGCAGCGATGAGGACTTGTTTTCTAGAAACAAACCTGTTTCTGGCGTAAGGAGGAGGAGGGAGGAGGCGTTTCTACGTAGGGAGCTGTGGGGGAGGGGGGGTGGTTTCACGCATGCGCAACATTTGAAAAAGGACAAACAGTCGCTGCATTTCTCATTCCTTGGAAAATCCTCTATACAACCTTTAATGTTTAAAGTTAATGTTTAAAGTAATGTTAATGTTTAAAGTTAATGTTTAAAGTAATGTTAATGTTTAAAGTTTATGTTTAAAGTACTACCAGGGTTAGTGTAGTGTCTAGGAAAAGGGAGCAGATAACATAAGAGTAAGAGACCTTGAGCGTCTGGGTCTTCCCGGGCAGAGACGAGTGCAGCCCCACGTGCTGGAACAGGGAAGGCTTGTACCTGTGCCTCAGCCGGGCCTTCTGTTCAGCACAGTGTTTCTGCAACACACAGTCCATAACAGCACATGTGACATATGTAATGAGTTAAAAATGCACTCATTACTATTTCCTGGTTGTATTTTATGTTTCATTATAATTTATACATGAATTTTATCATTGACATTTTATTTTGAAAAACGGAAATGCGCGCTGCACTGTAAAGTTTTCAAGTTGGCTTAATGCCTCACGGTGCTGTGTGCCTGAAATGTGTGAAGACATATTAGTATTTATATGTCGCACTGTTTTTTAGGACTATAAGTTGCGCTTTTTTCATGGTTTGGGTGTTTCCTGGGGATGTCTCGATCACGTTTTTTTGCCCCCGAGTCCGAGTCATTTAATTTTGAGTGTCTGCTGATACTGAGTCCAGATCTGATACTTCGAGGAAACAGAGCAAAGAATAAGATCCAGGATGTGTGTGTGTGTGTGTGTGTCTAGTATTTGGGCTGAACTTAGTGAGAAAAATCAATTGTCCAAAATTTTAATTGTATTAACTTTTCTAACCATGAACCATCATTGTTGAAAATCTTGACTTTTCACAGTCTGGTCTTAGTAAACTTAATGAACTGGACAAAACAGGAACCAGATCAGACCTGAGACTCGACTCTGCACAATCTACACTTTGTATATTTGATATTATATGGAGGCCTGTGTATTACATTTAAAACATTTAGGCTCGTCTATGATCTCCAAATAAAACAAAATCTTATCAAATAAAAACGATATAACAGAAGCCCCACAGCCTCTCTTCCCCCGCATCGCCACCACAGCCACAAACCCACCGCAGAGCGCACAACGCAACATCGATCCCACCGCTCAATAGACGCTTCATGCCGCAAAGCATCAACTCCACTCCACTACATGCAAACAAACAGCACTGTGCGACGCAATCAGCCGCGCAGGTGTGAACATGGGCCACAGAACCCCAGGTAACAGCGCCCGAGCACGGCACGGCCCAAAAAAATTCCAGCATGAGTGCGCCGCGAGTACAGCAGGTGCTGGGACAGACAGTCGCACTAACTGGACGTCCCTGAGCAAATCCCTCACCCCCGTTAAAAAAAAAAAAAAAAACTTGTGTGTTGTGTGTTGTTTGTGCGCTGTGTGTTATATACGTATATTATTTATCTGATCACTGATTGGAACATAACGTCCGAGTCTGGATCAAGTCCGCAGTCACGTGATCAGAAAATGAAGCCGAGGAGGAGGAGGAGGAGGTACAGCTCAAGAATAGAACCCCGGGGGACTCCGCAGTGAACAGGAGTTGAGGATGAGGTGGAGCCTCCAACCTGACTGAGCAAAAACCTTTAGAAGTGCAGACTTACTGCAGTGCTTTATAACATGACTGGAAGATATCAAAAGTGTTGTGTGCTTCTAGAAAAGACTGCAGCTGCAAAAGGACGCACTTTTCAAGAATTTTTGGTAAAAATGGTAGTTTGGAAAGTGGCCTATAGTTAGAAACATCCGTAGAATCCAAACTAGGCTTTTACAAGTGAGGCTCAACAACGGCACAACACATGCAAACAACATTCAAAGTGTTTTTCAGTTAGTCCACAGACATGAATGGGATCAATGTTTAACCACAAAAAAGAGATAAAAGAGACAAAAGTGGGCGGGGCAGAATAAGGTGGATAGGTTTATTGGATGTCATAGTGCACATGAGTTTAGAGCGCACAGCTCACATGCACACTGTGAGGGCAAATATCGGGCTCCGTGTGGTAACATCCACATAATTGTACAGGTTAGGTAAGGCTAATGCTACATGCTACGTTAGTAAAAGTGAGTAAGGCAAGGCAAGTTTATTTGTACAGTACAATTCGTACACAAAGTAATTCAAAGTGCTTTACAGAATAAGAAATACATTAAAATCATAATAAAAACAAATCAAAACATAAATAATCATGAAGATTAAAATTAAAAAAGAGAGACATAAATTGGAGAGAAGAGTGCGGAATGAAAACCTTTCAGTTATTTGCACAGTTAAACAGAAATGTTTTGAGTCTGGATTTAAACAGCGTCACAGAAGAGTCTGTCTCACATATTCAGACTGTTCCAGGTTTTAGCTGCATGAACCTGAAACTCTGACTCCCCTTGTTTAGTCGTGACTCTGGGCACCAGCAGGAGGCCGGTCCCTGAGCTCCTCAGAGTGTGAGATGGTTCATATGACACTAACATGTCACAGATGGACTTTGGTGCTCGGCCATAGAGAGACTTGTACAAGCAGAGCTGTTTTAAAGTCTCTGAGGCACAGGAGCCAGTGCAGAGACCTGAGCACAGGACTTATGTGCTCGTACTTCCTAGTTCGAGTCAGGACCCGAGCTGCAGCGTTCTGGATGTTCTGGATTTTCTGGATGTTCTGCAGCGTCTCACAGCTCGTTTGGAGAGACCAGTGAGCAGAACATTACAGTATCTAACCTACTGGAGACAAACGCATGGATAAGTTTCTCCAAGTCTGATTTAGACAGTAAACCTTTGATTTTTGCGATGTTTTTTAGATGGTAAAAGGCTGCAGATGTTATTGATTTTATGTGGCTGTTAAAGTTCAAGTCTGAGTCCATTATTACCCCGAGATTTCTTGCCTGATTTGAAGGTTTTAGAGAGAGAGACTGGAGGTGACTGCTGACACTGTCCCTTTGTTTCTGTGGACCAAACACTATGACTTCAGTCTTGTCAGAGTTTAGCTGGAGAAAGTTGTTTTGCATCCACACACTGATCTGTTGGACGCAGTGACCAAGTGCGTCCACTGGTCCATAGTCTCCTGCTGCAGTAAATGAAAGAGAAACACAGAGATGTTCCTGTTCACAGCTGAACACTTGTGTGTTTACTGTTGGCCACAGAAATGGATCACAGACGCAGAGGGAGGACGGCTCACCCTGCACCAAGACTCCAAACTATCAAACAGGCTGGACGTGTGCGGCAGGTCGTCTTTGGTCGTCTTTGGTCTAAGTTTGATGTAGAACCATCACGAGACCTTCCACCCGCCATCTGAGATACAACTCAAGATTTCCCCATGATCAGAAATCTTTTGGAGAGTTGAGGCCTTAGGCGGGCAGATAATATTTGGGCGACTTTCAATAACAGCAGTTTTTGTTTTCACACCAATCAACGCGTCTGGGACTTTCACTCGTGTCCAGTCTTCAGTGTTGGGAAGGTCACTTTTAAAATGTAATCCCCTACAGATTACAGATTACAGACACCAAAATGTAGTTTGTAACATAATCCATTAAATTAGTGAGTAACATAATCTGAATACTTTGGATTACTTGATTTGCTGTAGAGAAGCAAAGACGAGGAAATCGTAACATAAGAAGTTTTGTCTGATAAAAGAAAATAAAAAGCCCAGACTTTACTGAACCGTATTAAAAATATTATTGATAGAAGATGAGGAGAAATGGTCCGCACGGCATGGTTGAGTCCTGTTAAATCCTGTTTTAGACCTGGTTTAGTCCTGGTTTTAGACCTGGTTTTTAGGGCTGTGCAAAAATATTGAAATATCAATATATCGTATTGCTTAATGTGATGATACAGTATCGATATTGTGGGTTGCTGTATTGATATATCCCCAAGAGTATTTTTTCGGTATATTTTACTCAATTATTTTGCTACAGAGCAACAGTTTGTTTAGAGGAAGGGAAACTTTTTTATGCGACACATTGGACATTTTCACTGTTTTGATGATTAAAATGTTTGTGTTTCATATTAACTTTGCACAAAAAGTGGTTTAACAAAGACTTTTAGTATCACAGACATGATTTAGCCTTTATTTTTATTGAACTGTATCGAATCGATTTGAAATATATCGTATTGAATCAAAAGTGCACTGTATCAAGATATGTATCATATCGGCAACTTCTTAATGATACCCAGCCCTATTGGTTTTAGACCTGGTTTAGATCTGGTTTATACCTGTTTTAGACCTGGTTTTAGTCCTGGTTTTAGACCTGGTTTTAGACCTGGTTTAGACCTGCTTTAGACCTGGTTTAGATCAGGTTTTAAACCTGGTTTTAGACCTGGTTTTAGTCCTGGTTTAGATCTGGTTTATACCTGTTTTAGACCTGGTTTTAGACCTGGTTTTAGACCTGGTTTAGATCTGGTTTATACCTGGTTTTAGACCTGGTTTTAGACCTGGTTTTAGTCCTGGTTTTAGTCCTGGTTTTAGTCCTGGTTTTAGTCCTGGTTTTAGTCCTGGTTTTAGACCTGGTTTTAGACCTGGTTTAGTCCTGGTTTTAGACCTGGTTTAGACCTGGTTTAGTCCTGGTGTTAGACCTGGTTTAGACCTGGTTTAGACCTGGTTTTAGTCCTGGTTTTAGTCTTGGTTTTAGACCTGGTTTAGACCTGGTGTTAGACCTGGTTTAGATCTGGTTTACACCTGGTTTTAGACCTGGTTTAGACCTGGTTTAGACCTGGTTTTAGTCCTGGTTTTAGTCTTGGTTTTAGACCTGGTTTAGACCTGGTTTAGTCCTGGTGTTAGACCTGGTTTAGACCTGGTTTTAGACCTGGTTTAGACCTGGTATAGTGTCCGGCAATGAGTGAAATTATGGAAAAGAAAATCATAAAAGGGGAATACAGCCCAAAATATAAAAACAGGAAAATACCGCAGTGTAATCCACTTATTTTAACAAAGTAACTGTAATCCAATTACCACTCACTGAAACAGTAACTGTAACTGAATACAGTTACTCATAATTTGTACTCTGATTACATAACTTCGGGACATGTAATCTGTTACTCCCCAACACTGCCAGTCTTATGGACATTACTTCGGCCTGTGCAAAAATGATTGGACGTCCTCTACGTTCAGACCCTCCCCGGTGTTCAACTGTTGCACAGATTCATTTCTTCGATGTTTTGAGCCTCTGTGTTTGCAGCTGTTCTTGCAGTAGCTGAGGCTTTAGATGACCACTGATGATTTTATTTTTATATGTGATGAAAATCGAAATCCTGGCAAAGTTTTTAAAAAGCCTACAAGGTTTTAAATTAAATATCAAATGTCCTTTTTTCTGTGATAAATGAAAATGTTATTCTACATTTAACATGTTTCTCAAGCGGCGGCGGCGAGCTGGTGTGGGCTTGCTTATAGCCCCACAGCTCAGCCGCCACGTGTTGGAGTTCACCCCAGTGAACGAGAGGGTCGCGTCCCTGCGCCTTCGGGTCGGGGACAGGTCTCTCACTGTGGTGTCGGCCTACGGGCCGAACAGCAGTGCAGAGTACCCGGCCTTCTTGGAGTCCCTGGGAGGGGTACTAGACAGTGCACCAACTGGGGACTCCGTTGTTCTACTGGGGGACTTCAACGCCCACGTGGGCAACGCCAGTGACACCTGGAGAGGGGTGATTGGGAGGAACGGCCTCCCCGATCTGAACCCGAGTGGTGTTTTGTTATTGGACTTCTGTGCTAGTCACAGTTTGTCCATAACAAACACCATGTTCGAGCACAAGGGTGTCCATAAGTGCACATGGCACCAGGACACCCTAGGCCGGAGGTCGATGATCGACTTTGTCGTCGTGTCATCTGACCTCCGGCCGCGTGTCTTGGACACTCGGGTGAAGAGAGGGGCTGAGCTGTCAACTGATCACCACCTGGTGGTGGTGTCTGGCAACACTGGTGGTAGATGGACAAAATTGTGCAGTGGATAAAATTGTGCAGTGGATAAAATCGTGCAGTGGACACCCGGCTTAAAAAACATGTATCAGCTTCACTTTGTAAAATGTAAATTTGTCCCGGCAGTTTGGATGGAACTTTTTTTATTTTAGTTTTTT